CCACCATCCATGATTCTGAGCTACTGATCAGAGAAGGCAGCAGCACCCTACTACCCATGATAAAGTTTGTTTCATTTTTTAGAGAAAAGCCACATTGGACTATCCGCTGTGTGCACCACAAGGAATCAAACCTTGGATTTTAACGTTGTAAGTCCATAAATTTACTGCTGTCCCACCAGAGGTCCCATGATAAGGGATTGACTGCACTGTTATAACATACTCACAGCTTAAAATGCGGGGAATATTTTGTGGTATTGCACAGATTCAAACCCAACTCGCCATCTCCAAAATCTTAGCTTTACTTACATGGCCAACTTGTACCCTAAAATGGAAGTAATATACAAGAAATAAAATCAGTTTTTTCATCTATAGAGAAACGTTGGTAGTAAAACATGTGCTTTATCTGCAGTAATAACTGGAACAGTTCGGAATCGAGAAATTGATCCAACTCCTGCAAATTCTCTTCTTAAAATAAATATTAACATTACAACTGGTACTAGCAATAGAGATTCTTTCAATTAGAAAATAGAAATATATCAATAAGTATTTCCAACAAAAAAACATAATACACATGTTTAAAAACAAGTAAAAGGTAGGAATGGTCTATTCTTTCATTGGGGATGTGTCTGTGAGCCAGACTAGTTTCGGAGATTTCCACTCCTCACAGACACACCCCCAATGAAAGAATAGACCATTCCAACTTTTTACTTGTTGTTAAACAACTCTATTCAATTATGTACCAGCTTATGTACGAAGAATTAAATTGTGGCGGTATGCTACAAGTTCGTCAAATACCTATGGAATGATAGGTTTCTTTTTTGTGAGCGTAAAACACTTAAATACACTAGTTCGATAATACACATGATTTTAATTTTCATAATTATCAGATTTAAACAATGGAAACTTGATATTAAAGAGATCATGTTTCTTCAAATCAAATTAAATTGAGATTTTGTTTGCATCCATCCCTTGTGGTTTATACAATACATATGTTGCATTTCATAAGAGCTAGCCTGCCTTCCCTCTGGTGGCTAGTGCATATCTTAGAGAATGCCTACTTATTTTGAACAAACGTGATTTTGAAGATGCTGGAAGGAAGAGACACTTTGAGAGTGGTGTGCGGATGGGTGTTGGAGCATTTCATTTGGTAAGGTGTTCAAACTTTGACCAATTTCTGTTATTATGTAAAAGTAACAATTTGTGGCATGCTGAAAACATGTTGAATCCACCATGTGGTGAAAGGTTTCTTTAGAAACATTTGTTTAAAAAACAATAGAGTAAGTATTCTATGACATCAAATGAAGGAAAATGTCAGAACATTTGGAATTACCAGAATACCTAACATTTGTTTCAGAAACTTATTGGTTAACATGGCAGACTGAGGTTTGTGTCCTGTTGATGTTCAAAAAACAATTAAATTCTGCACTTTGAATCCATAAGCGTGTTACCAATGCTCAAATTCCACTATTTGATCTGATAGGAGCAGTTCTAATATCGGTGATGTTGACTAGGAATTAGTTATCGTGATTTAACGAAAAACGACTCTTTACACATAAAACATTGAAATCAGTTGTCTTGTACATGTGTTTATGATGGTGATGAACTGTACAGTTAGTTATCGTGATTTAACGAAAGGGACTCTTTACACAAGAAAGATTGAAATGAGATGTCTTGTACATGTGTTTATGATGGTGATGAACTGTATAGTTAGTTATCTTGATTTAACGAAAGGGACTCTTTACACATAAAACATTGAAATCAGTTGTTTTGTACATGTGTTTATGATGGTGATTAACTGTTTAATTCACTCACAATATTAACATGTTTAGGGAAACAATTAGTAAGAACTTAATTCTGTTTTATGCTTTAAAATGCTTTTATCAGATATTGAAAGCATTAAGAAAGCAAAAAATATTTTTATTTTGTTGTATTTCCAGTTCAACAGTTCTCATTATCATTTCATGATGAACTGTATCCATCATAAACACATGTACAAGACATCTCATTTCAATCTTTCTTGTGTAAAGAGTCCCTTTCATTAAATCAAGATAACTAACTATACAGTTCATCACCATCATAAACACATGTACAAGACATCTCATTTCAATCTTTCTTGTGTAAAGAGTCGTTTTTCGTTAAATCAAGATAACTAACTATACAGTTCATCACCATCATAAACACATGTACAAGACA